GAGTAAATATGGCCTTTTGTTATAAATTCCAGGTGCCTTTCTTAAGGCACAAGTGAGAAGCACAATACAGAGTAACTTCTCCCAGCTCTTACCTGAGTACAAAAGTGTTTCAAGCTAAAAGATGTCTGTAAAATGGCCTTCAAAGTTCCTAACTGGTATGAATCCACATTGGAAGGAGTTGTGCAAGAACAAAGACTGATGTTAGACCTTCTTGGATTCATCTTTGGGGAAGTGTGAGAAAAAGGACTGATAATGGATCTTGTAGGGCTTGATTATTACAGCTATTTAAAGAATAATGTGTTTCTTATTACAAAGTAATTAATGTTTGCTTATGTTCACTCGGGTTTGCTTATGTAGGTTGTCATGGTGTCAGAGACACTTTATAACCTGCCTGCTATAAATAGGTTCTGCCATCTGCTGCATCAAGACGAAACATATTCTAGTGCATAAGACCTTCAATAGAAAATAACTTTAATACAATAAGTGTGCAATAGAGAGACTATAGTTAAAATAGTTTCCAATGAAACACTCAAAAGTTACCCATCCCCTCATGGGTAAATGCCCAGCCAAACAGGATTGGCCTAAAGCAGGATCTCTGAGGCCCAAAAGCCTGTCACAAATCTAAGGCACCTTCTGGTGGGGACCCATAAAAAGGAAATTGTTGAAGGGGACAGCAGTTTGGAAAGAAAGCAGCAAAATCAAAATCCAAGTGCAAGATAAACCAACCTTCCCATGGGTCTCTCACCCACATCTCTGTCTCTTTCAAGTGTCTCCATCCATGTCTCCCAAGTCCTTGGTACAAGTCCAAGGCGGAGAAGAAAGAGAAGCTTCTTTAGATGTCTCTCCGTTCCATGTGCCTCCTCCAGGTCTCTTTCTTGCTCTCTTTCCTTCCTTTCCCCTGTCTTCTCCAGCTTCTCCTCCCTGCTCAGCTCCGCCCTTCCTTGGGTCAACAGGGAAACTGGACTCTCTCCTTTCCCTGGGGATTACCCCATTATACTTTCTTTCATTGCTTTTGTTCACTGCACCTTTCCCCAGCCCACCAAGGTCACCTTCAGCAATTAACAACTTCTCAGCTTCATTTTCTGCAGCTATTGTACTGGTATAGAACAGCCCCTTTTTTTTCCTTTGGTCTGGCATGCTTACTTAAGGCTGTTCCTTGGAGGGGGCAAAGACGTGGAAATTGACAACTCCCTGCCCATCTGGAAGCTGCTAGCGGCTGCCTCACACAAGCATACATTCCCCTGACCCAGTCAAAGCTGTTTCCCTGATTTTCAATTTGTCTTGCTCTGTAACTTTCAGCTCTCATTTGTTCCTGACACAACCCAACCAACATTGATGTTGTTATGCTAAAGGGTCTTTGCTAGAGCCCCTCCATCAGCATTTTGCATCACAACAGTTATACCTCACAATGCAAATACAAGTAATGTGTGCAGAAAGATTACAATGCACCCTACAGGTCCCATCTGAAGTCAGCTCTGCTTAGCTTTCTGACAAAGTCCCAGATATTCCCGAGACGTTTCACTGCAATCCAGTCTGCTACCTGGAAGTCAGATTGCCTAACTCCACTTGTCACCGGTCACTGAGGTATAGGAGTCAGATATTGCAAACAGTTTAGAATCAGGTGGGGGTGGGGATTGTTTGAAATGCAATTCACTTTGCTTTCTGGGCTGACTCTCCAACAAGGCTTTAGAAAGCACTTGTTTTTCTGTTTGATTATATTCCGTTCCCACACCAGTCTCCAGCAGCTCTTGTCTCTTCTCTGTGGGCTGCCTGCCCCCCCAGTTTTCACCCACATATAGACGAAAATATGTTCCCAAGATGCCAATGGTTTTCAAAATGTATTCACTGATAGGACCTAAGTTTTATTGTGATGAGACTTTCTTTGTTTGTCTTTATTTTTTGCTATAATAGAAAGTTGAGGATTAAAAAAACAGATAGAGTTTATGTGTAATTGTTACAGGGCAGGGAGAGGACCACCCTGTTGCACAATGAGGACAGATCTGCTAGGACCTGATTACTGAAAATCGCCTCAAAGAATGTGGGAGCACCCCTGGGACTGTTCTACACAGGCTTGTTGCTTTAGGGTCTCTTGTTTTGTCAGCATCGTCTGAAAATAATGAATAATCCAAGATTTGCTATTGTGGCTACCCACTGGCTTTGCTTTCTAGAAACACATCCAATCCTGACCTGTCCTCTAATGGTAACATTGCAGAGATATTTCATAGGCATTAGTGTTGCAATGAACAGTAAAGAGACTCCCATTTGAGTAATATAAAATCAAAACTGTGTTGCTGCTTTGGAGACACTGTCTCCAACTCAAATGCACAACTCTATTTTGCACTGAACTAGGAAAGAATTTGCATGATTTTCTCCAGGATGACAGAAACATGCAAAATATGTCGGTTTACAAATATCTCACTCTTCTTAAGACCTAGTGCACAGGATTAAGAACAAGTCTATGGTGAAATCAGAAGAATCACTGATTTGGGAAGATCTCAAGCAGGTAAGAATGAGAAGCCAGGTTTTATTTTTTTTTTTTTGAACTTTATTTTTTAAAGCTTTTTTTTTTTTAATAGAGGCATGTTTTTATTTATTTGTTTGTTTGTTTGTTTTGTTTATACATGCACTGGGTACAGTCAGAAGCACGGGAGGGTGAGAGAATTCACCAGAGCCAGAGCAGGGAGCAGAGCAGGCAGAAGGACCGAAGTGCACTGCTGAGGGGAGCAGCGGGCAGCAGGAGAGGTCTGCGCGCCATGTGGGACCCTCCTCCGGTGGCCGGGGAGCAGCCAGGGATCGAACCGGCACCACAGAGGCCGCATGCAGCTTCGCAACCCAGCACTCAACTGCTGCGCCACCGGGGAGGTCCAGAAGCCAGGTTTTAAATAGCTACTGCCAGCTATAAAAACAAGTGAACTGTAAATTCTTCTGACTATAGGTTTCCCAAAACAGCAGAGATAGAAATATTCCTAAAATTCTAATACAGGGAAAACCACGCAAATAAATACTTCTTAAGGCAATCGATGCATTAAGAGGAAGCATTTGCAGACTAAAAGCCACATAATACACAGAGGTTGCATCCTGACAGGATACTTGTTAAAAGAATCCATTTGCAGCTCCAATATTCAGGGTCAGTAATTTCTCAGAAAAAGGTTAATGGAAACAAAACAGAATTCAGGGCACATCTCCCATCCAGTGTGCAGAAATACAAGCAAAATACACCCTTAACGTATCCTCTGGTTATAGAATACAAAATTATTGCAACATTCTATTTGGTAAAATTTGTAATCAATACAATAAAGAACAAAGGGAGACTGAAGGTGAGATTGGGCAGGTAATATAATGACCTCTGGTCACTTCCAGTCTGAGGTTGCAATGATTCCATGTTTGAAGACAGAGTTTGGACGTGAAGAAATCAAGGGGTAAGTGGATGGAGCTGGAGAAATTTTCTCAAATCAGCTTCCAGCCTTAGAAGCTGCTCTGAAAAACTTACAAATGTATCACAGACTTATAGAAATCTGAGAAGGTTAATGGAGTAATGAAGCCATGATGGCTAATGTCAGTATTCTAATCTTCCTTTCTGGAAAGAGGGAAACCTGATCGAGCAGTGGTATTCTAGAAATAGTGGACCACAGGCATCTGGTTTGTGTTTCAGAGCCTAGCACAATACCACAAACAGTCCCAACAGAACAAGAGAAGAGTCAAGCAAGAGACTATGTTAAGAGAGAGTCTAGAAACACTGAGAAGACATAGGAACCTTGAGCACAGATGTTTGGAACAAAATGAAGTCAACATGAGGTCAGATGGCATCCTTCCAAAAGGGGATATCAAAGCTGTCCCAGTTCAAAAGACTTTTGAAAAATACACCACTGTATTTAACAGGCCACACAGCAATCCATACAAGTCAGTCCCAGTAGGTCATGGATAATTTGTAGCAAGGCTTCACCACCTGCCAGGTTGAGGGCTAAGTATTCGGCAACATGTTATTTGAATTTCATAGCTACTCTCCATCCTAATCAAATACCTCAGAGAAATTTATGGACTGATGGATCTTCAATGAAATTAGACAATCACAAAGCTACACTACCTAGATATTTTGGGGTACATGGTATCACATACCCCACCTTAAACTCCTTTAATTGACTAGCACTGTCCCATTATCATCACATGACACTGTAAGGAGCAGTCATGTAATAGTATCATTGTGCTTAGTGAAAGGATATTATTGGCTGGAATGTAATTTTGTTGCTGCTTTACCTCAAGACACCATCTCCAATTGGAATGCTAAACGAGTGGCACAACTCTGTTTTGCACTGAACTAGGAAAAAATTTGCATGATTTTCTCAAGGATGACAGAAACATGCAAAATATATCGGCTACAAATATCTCACTCTTCTTAAGACCAAGTGCTCAGGATTAAGAACAAGTCTATGGAGAAATCAGAAGAATCATTGATTCGGGAAGATCTTAAGCCGGTAATAATGAGTTACCAAGGAACATTTGTTCCTGGTCTTAGTGCCAGGAATTGTTATAGCTCTCGAAGCATCCAGCATGTTTTTATCTTATAGACACTAGATTGTACAACTGATCCTGTTTCCCTAGTTGCATTGGCTGCTAGGAAGCTCCAGACCAGATATAAGGACCAACTAAAGGCAAACAACTACCTTATTCTAATTTTTTCTTGCTCCACTTTTTTTGATTTAGTTATGCTATATCTTTTCATCCTATAAAATCTTTTACATTGTTTAAAACCCTTCCCACACGATCAGGTATAAACACATACATACACATACACAAACATTCATACGTGCAGATCTAATTGCTATAGCCAAATTGCAAAAAAAAAAAAAAAAAGAGAGTATAGATAATAAGTCTTTTGTGTACATATAATTAAAATTAGTGAAATTCCTGTTCCCTGTTTAAATTACTTCTTGTTAAAATTTATAAGTAACCCAGTTTTCCTGCTTCACATTTTTATTGAGAAAATCCATATTCAACTTGCCAGAAACCTGAATTTCTTTATTCCTCATAGAGCCAAGCCTTCTGATTTATATGGAACAACTTCTCCATCTATTGGCACAATATAATATTGCAAATAATATATTAAAACCAAATGTTCCCTATTACTCTATGGAGGTTTTTTCCCCCGGTGAAGTCTCTCAATTTTCCACTCTCAATAATTAAATGTATTCCTCTACATTAAGCTCTTTGCCTTCAGGAGTTAATAAACCTATAGAAAGTAAATTGATGGCATTATCACTGGGCTAAGAGGCTTCCTGGATCACAATCTTTACCTCCTAAAGGAAGTCAAGCCAAATTTCCAACATAAGATATAAAGGAATGAAGAAATTATTATGCATAGACTTAATCTAAACCAGTTTAGGACATGATAATCATTTAAAAATCATGTTTAAGGACTGAGTGAAATGCCAATATTTCAGTCCTCATTTGGATAGCTTGTAAGTGACAAAACACAGGGGCAATCAAAAGAGCCCATCAATTTTGTAAGAATGTATCATAGCCTAATACTGAATATTGATAAGGAACCAAACTCACTATTCCTCACCAACCAATAATTCTTTACCTTTGATTAAGTCCTTCCTTTCATCTGACAAAACAATTCCACTTACTCCTAAATGAAATACATCACCCTTTAAATTTTTTGAAGCATAAGATGTTCTCAATATCTCTATAGTGTTGCAATCTCTAGGTGACCCTGCATATGTACAGTGAATTTATTTATGTGTACATCTCTTATATTATTACCCTACAGATCTAAGCTTCAAACCCAACTCAAGAACGAGTGTAGCCTTGAGCAAGATACCTACAGCCTCTGAAACCTTTTTCCTTGTGTGTACATAAAAATGATACTATTTATCTTATTGGATTGTCATGAAGCATAAAAAAAAACTATTTTTAATACCGAGCACCTCGTAGGCAATAAATGATAGATTTTAAGAGTTGTTAGAGTTGCTGTTGTAGAAAGAAGAAAAAGTTTTCCCATAAATTTCTTGATTTCTCAGACCCTTCCGAATTGAATCATAAGTGAAACAACTTAAGAGGACCTGAAAGCAAGGAGCTTCACAAAAGACAAAAAGTAATGTAATTGATGAAAACTAGGATGTTTTGAACAGGAAGAAGCAAATGTAAGGAGTAGATCCCTTCCATCTCCAGCCTGACAGCTCTGCTGGTCTCTAGTGTCACTAGAGTGGTGGACTGTCACAATGGACAGACAGCAAAGGAGAAAACACACTTGAGTTCAGTCAAGCAAAGCAATGCAGTGGACTAAAGGATGGGCTTGGAAGTGAGACATAATAACTCATCACTGAATAGAAGGGCCAATTTATGTATATATATGTGTGTGTGTATATGTATATATACATATATATAAATGAAGGATGACGCAATAAATATATACATACATATTTATTACGTCATCCTTCATTTTTATACAATATGTGATTTCCCGTGAAATTCCCACCACCATTTGACCCCTGCACCATCACCATAGTCCCTTGTGCTCTTCCCTCCCCTGTCCTAATCCGTCTCCCTCCTCTTCCCCTACAGAATGTCTCTGGTCTATGGTTGCTTATTGATATTGATTTTTTCTTTATGATAGTTATTTTTTTCCTGATCCCTTACTTGGTTCCTCTACATTCCTCCTATAAGTGAAACCATCTGATATTTTTCTTTTTCTTTCTGGTTTATTTCACTGGGCATCATCCAGAAGGGCCAATTTTTAAGAGTCCTCGTATCTGGCAGATAAGGAGCTAACTGCCCACAAAAAGGCTGAACAAGTTCAGAAAGTAACCTCTCTCCTTGGATCCATCCGAGAAGTGAGGTCATAGGGCAAACCACTACCAGCCTCCACTCTTATACCTCCCTACCTTCATCCTCCCTCTCTCCCCACCATGCCTGCCAAAATTGGCAAGACCAACTGGCAGATACAGAGAATCATAACATACTAGGGCAGAAACACCCAGAGTGAGCCGTCATGGAATCTAAGAATGATGTTTCAGTATATGTTCTTCAGTTGTGAAATGGTTACCATAATCGAGCTAATTAACATCTCACACAGTTACCTTTGTGCATGTGTGTGTGGTGAGAACACCTAAGATTTACTCTCAGCAAATAAAACTTTAAGACTTTGATGAAAGAAATTGAAGAAAACACAAATAAATGGAAAGATATCTCTGGTTGGAACAATGAATATTATTAAAATGTCCATATACCCAAAGTGATCTAGATTCAATGCAATCCCTATCAAAATTCCATTTTTCTTTTTTTTTAATATTGTAATTCTATTTTTTATTTTTATTTTCTTACATCATTGTTTATTCTTGTGTAATATTTGATTTCTGTCCTCAGCTGCAGTCCTTGCACTTGTCCCAGCACCATAGCACCTATGAACAATCACGGTACTTCCTTGTGCTCTTCCAATCTCTGTCTTGACCCCTCTATCTCCTCCTCCGGTGCTGTATGCCACAGATCTATGGGCAGCTTGCT